GAAGATTCTTGCCTAAGCGGCGAATCTGTCTCCTGAGATTTGGCCTTGTCTGCGACGATTTGAGTCAACATGGCCATGAGTTCATTGATAGCCTCCTGTTGTGATTTGAGCATGGCCTCCTGTTCATCAAGTCTCTTTGAAAGGTCTTCCGAATGTTCTGCCATGTGGGCGAAGCTCGCATGCCCAACGAAAGAGCTTGATGATTGGGACTCCGCAATGGCTGAGTGGTCGTCATCGGAATTAGTTCCTCTGGCTAAACTCCGATAGTTGACAGGGGGAATGGCTCTTGTTCGCGTCCGAGTGCGTTGGTAGACTCCTTCAAACTCGTTAGCGATTTCTCTGACGCTTGGAGAATGATCTGTCTCTGACTCGTCAGAACTAAAGGTTGATGATCTCCCTCTACCAACCATGTTAGAAGTGACTCCAAGGTATTCAACCTCTAAAGTCTTCTTCCTGTGATGATGCCGTCGATTATTGAGCAAAACGACATTCGTCGGTCGGTTGAACATTGACAGCAATTCCCGCAAGTCAGAGACTTGGGATGAACCTCTCACAGAGCGTGAGGGTAGAGATGGAACCCCCTGTCCATTAAAGGATGAGACTGGCTCCTGGTGAACATGGATCTTGAGTCCACGTTGATCTTTTTGAACACGACGAATCGCATCGTGTTCTGAAGAAGAAACACGAGGGTCGTGTTCTGTTTTACTAACGCTAGACCGAAGTCTGCGTTTTGTTGATGAAACGCACCTTTGCCGGTTGCGTTTTTGTTGGTTAACGCAGTTTGTAAGTCTGCGTTTTGGATCTTGAACGCACTCCTGAGAGTTGCGTTTTGGTTCTGAAACGCACTCCTGAGAGTTGCGTTCTGCCAAATCAACGCAGTTTTGAAGGTTGCGTTTTGATTGCACAACGCACCACTGAGGGCTGCGTTTGGCATAAACTGAGCCCACTCCTTTAGAGGTAGGGCTGCTCGAGTAATCTCGGCGACTAAAGGAGAGGGTTTCCTTTGGCATAGGAGCAACCTTTGGAGCTTTAGTCTCCTTGGCACCTCTCACAGAGCGTGAGGGTAGAGATGGAACCCCCTGTCCGTTAAAGGATGGGACTGGTTCTTGGTAAACATGAATTTTAAATCCATGTTGATCATTTTGAACACGACGAATCACATCGTGTTCCAAAGAAGGAACACGAGGGTCGTGTTTAGCTTGATTAACGCAAGACCAAAGTCTGCGTTTTGCTAGTGAAACGCAGTCCTGCGATCTGCGTTCGGATTCAGAAACGCACTCCTGAGAGTTGCGTTCAGTTTGTGAAACGCACTCCTGAGAGTTGCGTTTTGGTTCTGGGACGCACTCTTGAGAGTTGCGTTCAGCCAGATCAACGCAGGTTTGATGTCTGCGTTTAAATGATAGAACGCACTCCTGAGAGTTGCGTTTGGGTTCTGAAACGTACTCCTGAGAGTTGCGTTCTGCCAAATCAACGCAGTTTTGAGGTCTGCGTCTTGGCATTGAAACGTGCCTCTGAAGGCTACGTTCTATCTGGGAAACGCACACCTGAGGGTTGCGTTTAGCTTGGCTTCTGCAGAGCTCATGTTGAGGCTCATAAACGCGGAGTTCGCGTTGATTGGAGGATCGGCTTTTTTGGCGTTGTGCCGAAATCGAGTCTTCTCCTTTAGAGAGGGGACTGTATGAACAGTGCAACCCCCATGGGAGATAGTCTTTAGATGATTTGGCTACAACTGGGGGTTTAGTCTCCTCGAAAACTGTGTGGATCTTGCGCATAGCCTTGGGGCTAAGGGATCCGGAGGAGAGGGTCTCCTCGTACTTGGCTTGATCAAACTCGATAATCAGAGTTTCAACGGTCGTTCCAGTGAGATAAACTTCGGATTGCACCACCACTTCTTCGTCAGAGAAACTAGTCCCCAGCAGAGTCGCCATCTTTTGTTTGTTGGAAATTTGCAGTAAAAAGACAATGAAAGAAAAATTTGACTTGTATTCCTCTCAAAATCAATTACAATTTGGATTCCGATTACAAAAGAGAGGAGAATGAATTTGATTCTCCCCTTTGTTTAATTCTGGGTTCTTCACGGTGGCGATGGAGTGCCTCCCTCGAATGCTCGCGTCGAGTTTGCTCTCCGTTGACGATCCGAACGTCTTGATTCACTGGAACGATGTCTTCTCCTCACGATTTGACGCCGTGGAGAACTTGCGTGGCAAGTTTGAAAATAACTCTTAACGAGTTGATAACTCTGAACGAGTTTTAGAAGAACTTGCAGAGCAAGTTTTGAACTCTGATCGAGTTGATAACTCTGAACGAGTTTGAACTCTTGAAAAAGAGTTGATTTGAACCGAAAGTTCGGTTAATAAGCCAAGGAAGAAGCTCCTGTTGCTGGTCTCCAAAACTCCAACAATTCCCTTCCAAAGTTAGCCGAAGATCTCTCCTTTGCTGCCCAAAAAGAAGGATCCCAGAGCCCAGAGCCAAAAAGCCAAAAGTCCCGAACTCAGTTGAGTTTCTGATATTTATAGGGGATTACGGGTGGTAACTGCCCCCTTAATCCACTCTTAAGTGGGGCGAAAATCCCTCAAATCGTGGGGAAAAACAGTTCCTGGAACTGTTCATTACTTGAACTTTTAGTGTTCATTAGTGAAATAATTCTCAAAAAACACAGATTACGATCAAAAATCCTGATTTTTTAATCTTAAACCCCTAAGAAATAATCACGGTGGCTCTGATACCACTTGTTATACTTAATCGTGATTAAATCATATAGATTAAACAATAAGAGCGGAAGCTATACCTAAATCCATAGAGAATCTGAATTAGGGTTTTGATGATCTTCTTATCTTAGGGTTTCTCCTTTAGTATCTCTTTAGATGGGGATAAGAGAATTGAGTGTATTAACCCTAGATTAGCGACCATAACCCTATATATATAGGTATTGTACATTTATAATTTGGTCACTCGTCAAATTATAAATACAACCTGGTATCTGAACATTTAGCCCATGATTTATTTAAATACTCATTAACCCAAATTGATTGATCACTTTATACGGGTTATCCTTAAGGATAGCAATACACACTGATTAATCATATGTGCCCATAAATTAGATTTAAATCCAACAGCCGACACCTGTTAACTGTCTGCCGAGTCAGCTGCCTGTTTGAACTCAGCTCAAGTTACCTATCTACCCTTATTATCCTCTATAAAAGGAAGCCATGTAGCTCAAGGTAGCTATCTGGTCTTTTCACACAACTTTGAAACCTTCTTCATCATCTCAAATTTTTCCACTCAAGTTTATATACTAACTTAATCGTCGGAGGAACAAGCGGAGAACATAACTTTGGCCTCTTACGAGTTTTTCATATGTAGGAAAGAGCAACAGGCTCCCAGACTAGCCATCTGAAGAATTTTGAGGACTCCAACCCACATTAATCCTTAACTAAACCCCATGTTAGATAACTGACATTAACAATATTCGATGGATATACTGTTAAATATAATAATTAGGCTATCTTACTTTGCTTTGCTTTAGTCCCACGTCAACTTGGGATTCTAGAACTTCTGTCCTCACTCTTGTACTTAGACACTTCAATGCAATGAATAATATTATCAAGTTCTCTCAAATTTCTCTATGCATATCATGTACGACTTGTTCTAATAGGAAATAGTGTTTTTTCTATTATGCCCATGACGTAGGCGTATAAGGTCAAGGCCTAATGTCACGTGATTTGTGTTTGGTAATAATATATTACTAAGCAATAAGAAAATTAAAGAGACAATGGCTATGATCGATGGTTCAATTGTCGTGCCTAGAGGGACGCCAATCAGAGTGGCTAGGGACCTGCTGGAGAGTCTTAATAAATTTGTATATCGCCTCTGATCTGACTGTACGTCAGGATGCTAGGTCTCGACCTTGGACTAGACGCCTCGAAGAATTACATCGGGTTATTTTAAACACAATCAAGTTCCAGCGATGGTCCATGGGCGCTCCCCAAATTAGCGAGTGCCCTTGGTCACTCGCTGAAAAATGAAACGGGGCTGTTGGTTCAAATTTTAATTAGGGGTTCGATTTGGGGTTAGGTTTGGGTTTATGCGACTCATGGCCCCCTCGTGTAGCAAGTGACAGCGCGCGAGTGTCGCCGGCTGGCACTCCAGAGAGAGAGAGAGAGCGATAAAACATTAATCTATACGTACACTCGCATATAGGGGTGGAAGTGAACCAAATATTTAATAAACAGTTCGGCTAATATTCGTGCAGATATTCGGTCATATTCGATCCGACAGTTCATTTAACACTAAATAAATAATTTTTAGTATTCGGCTTATAAACGAATAGAATTTAACTAAAGGTATATTCAATTCGACTGATTATTAACTATTCGATAACTTTTTATATGTTAATACTATTAATTAAACTTGTTGTAAATATTACCCATCAAAATTTTTTATTACAACTTCTACTCATATATAAATAAACAAGTTAAGGGACCTAGGGTTTCACATGTCCTTTGGATCATGAATGAACGGTTCAGATTTGCACTTGGCACAATATAAATAGCTTCAAGTGCCCTATCTTATAACCCTAGATCTGATTCATCTGAAACCGCCGAACTCTTCCCCATCTCTCAGTCTCCCATCTCCCTCATCCTCTCCGCCACAACTCCCTCATCATCTCCCTCAACCAGCCCCTCCTTACAGCTAGTCTCCTCCGCCCCGCCATCCCCTCTAGAGCCGCCCATCTCCTCCTCGAACCCAGCCAGACCGACCCACCTACCTGCTGACCCTCCACCCGCGCCCTGCCTCCCTCGGATCTGCCACCGACGACCACAACCCCGTCAGGTAAAACTTTGTTCAAAATTTGTTTCTACAAAAATTATGTTTCTACAGAATTTTGTTTCTACAAAATTTGTTCCTCCCCGTCAGGTAAAACTTTTTTCCCCAAATTTTTTCCCCAAATTATTCATCATATATTCTGATTGTTGATTTTCAAAATTTGTTTCTACAGAATGTCATCTCCTAACATGAATCCAGCAAGTGATTCTCACGCTCCATCATTATCATCTTCTGCTCCTGCAAATACTTCTTCTCCATCATTATCATCTTCTGCTCCTGCAAATGCTTCTTCTCCTTCTCCAGCTACTCCCTCCAGTGATAATACAGATAATGCAAGTAGAGAAAATGTGGAGACTACAAATCCTATTCAGGAGAAGAGAAGAAGGAAAAAGACTTCTAAGGTATGGGATAATTTTGTTGAAGTTACTCGTGCTAATAATGTTAAAAGATGGAGATGCAATCATTGCAAGCACGACTTTGCACAAAATTCAACTGGAACAACATCTCACTTGAAAACTCATTTAAATAATTGCATTACAAAAAAGTTGCATGATCAAAGGCAACAAACACTTAACTTTCAACGAGATGGTTCTACTATAGAGCGCCCAATCATGTTACCACCTGGAGGAAAATATAACCATCTGAAAGTTAGGGAAGCATTAGCTCATTGGGTCATGATGCATGAACATCCATTTACTGTAGCAGAGGAGGAGGGTTTTCTATTTCTAATGAAAACTGTGAATCTTGAATTTATTAAAATTGGGCGTAAAACTTTGAAGGAAGATTGCATGACAATTTTTGAAAGTGAAAAGAATAAGATGAAGGGACTCCTTAAAAACATGGACAGGGTTAGTTTAACCACCGATCTTTGGAAGTCAGAAAATCAAAAAATTGAATACATGGTAATTACTGGGCATTTTGTTGATAAGGATTGGAACCTACAAAAATCAGTTCTTAGTTTTGTGCATGTGCCTCCTCCTCGACGTGGTATTGACATTGCAGATGCTATGCATAAGTGCTTCAAAGATTGGGGAATAGAAAATAAAGTTTTTACTATATCTGTGGACAATGCATCCTATAATGATGTTTGTTTAAGAACTTTGAAGACTAGCCTATCTCGACATAAGAAATTGGTTTGTGATGGAAAATTATTTCAAGTGAGATGTTGTGCACATATTCTCAATCTTCTTGTCCAAGATGGGATAAGTGTAATTGCATTAACTATTGAGAATGTGCGGGAAAGCATCAAGTTCATCAATCACAGTGAAGCGAGGCTCAGAACATTTTCTGCTATTGTGCAACAGGTATATCAAATCTATTGTCATCTTTAAAATGTATATTTTTTATGTGAAAGTCTAATAATATACTTATGTATATATTTTTTGTTTAACAACTGCAGTTAAGAGAAAAGAAGTTGATTCTTGATGTGCCAACTCGTTGGAATTCGACATACTTGATGTTGATCACTGCCCTGAAGTTCAAAGATGCATTTCCAATGTACAAAGAAAGGGAGTCCAATTATGATTGCATGCCAGAACCTGAGGAATGGGATAAAGTGGAGAAAATTTGTAAGTTATTAGCCGTCTTTCATGCGGTAACGAATCTAATCTCTGGTAGTGACTATCCTACTTCTAATTTATATCTCATTGAAGTCTATAGGATTAAAGAAGTTATCGATAAGTCGCTACTAGATAATGATTTCTCTATTCGGCAAATGGCTAAAAAAATGCAAGATAAATTTGAAAAATATTGGGGAGAATGCAATTTGTTAATGGCAATAGCTTCTGTTATGGATCCTAGACTAAAAATTGGTGCGGTTGAAATTTGTTATCCTCAAATTTACTCTGAAGTAGAAGCTATGATAAATATACAGAAAGTTAGGGATGCCTTGCAAGAGCTATTCGATGAGTATGTTGCTTTACATGATTCAAATAATGAGGAAAATAGCTCTCTGGAAGGTTCTATGGGTGCTTCAAGTGATACAAGCTCGTCATTGTCATCTTTAAGTTCCAACTGGAGTGATATCTTGAAAAAGGTGAGAACGAAAGATAGTATGCCTGCATCCAAATCAGAGTTAGAAACATACTTGGATGAACATGTATATATATGTGGTGAAGCTGAAAATTACCATTTTAGTGCTTTGAATTGGTGGAAAACGAATCAATTGAAGTATCGTGTCTTGTCGAGAATGGCGGCTGATATTCTTGCTGTTCCTATTTCTACGGTGGCATCAGAGTCTACGTTTAGTGCTGGCGGGAGGGTAATTGATACGTATCGAGCATCTTTAGATCCAAAAACAGTTGAAGCATTGATTTGTGGAGGGGATTGGATGCGAAAAGTCCATGGTATAAAGAAAAAGAAGGTAATGACTTATTTAAATTCAATGCAAAAAATTAGAGTTCATAAAAATTTATTGATATTGAGTTAATTTGTATGATTACAGGTTGAAGATGAGGTAAGAGAAGTGGAGATTACCTTACCAGAATGTTAATTGCAGGTATGATTATCATTCTTTAAATAATTGCAGGTATGATTATCTTCTGAAACTGCCACTGTTAAAAAAAACTTTACCTGTTGAGAATATAACCTTGTTTAATGTCTACACCATTCTTGCACTTATTGGGCTTTTCCTGTACCTTGCATTTTCCCCAACATGGCAACACCTACTTGGCCCACACACCTTCATTTAACTCATTTGTACCTTACATGTTGGTAATCTGCAAATCTTATACTAGTTAATATAACGATTATATGTCACTTATGTTGCTGCATGCTTCAAATTTGTTTAAACTTTATGTTGCTACATGCATGCTTCAAATTTGTGTTGGGCTGGGAACAATTCAGGGTTGATTTTATATGGAGATGAAAACTAATCTTGTATGGGATTCAAGTGTTCAAAGTAAATATTAACACCTTGGAAGCTTATTTGCTTTGGCTTACTATAATTCTAACTTAGATTATTTACTCACTATAAGTCTTGGTGAATTACAACTTCATTGTGTCATAGAAGCTAATTCAAAAGGTACTTAAAAACGAAACTCGCATGAACTGAAGAGAGCCATTATACTATAGCGCGATTGCTTAAGTTTTCTAGAAATAAATCTTAATCTAACCTGATTTCCAAACAGTCCTCTATGATGATGGCCGTGTCTACTGGTCCAAAATAGTGTGATTATGTCCATGTTAATTGCAGGTATGATTATCATTCTTTAAATAATTGCAGGTATGATTATCTTCTGAAACTATCTATAGTCATTGGCCATCTATTATAAGCTTTAACACATGGTAACATAAATTATTAATATGACTATGAATATGATGTGTTTTACTGTAACAGTTAGAAAGCTTACTTTCTTGGGCTATAGCTAAATGTTGTAGTTTTATATAGTCATTAATTATTTTTTCCTTTTTGTTTTCATGTGATTGGTTTCTATTTTCAGGATTTGATCGACAAAGAGCCCAAGATAAGTTGTAAAACTGGAGTCTTTTGGATTGTATGAGGGCCAAAATATCAAACTGGGAGAATCTGGAGTCTTTTGGAACACTTTTTTCTTCTATGCTTTTTTGGAAAGTTGTAAAACTTCTTTATGTATGAGTTAAGATCTTGGTGTGTAGCAAATTTCACTTTAAAATACCTCTTTGTTTCCTATGTATGTGGTAATGTGATACTGAGTTACTAGATAAGTTGGATTATTGGATAAGCTGGTAACTGGTGATTGCTATGTTGTTTTAGATTCCAATTTCTTAATATATTGATTTGCGAATAATTGTCGAATATATATTGAATAGTTGATGAATAATTTGATATTTAAACAGGAAATAGTATTAAACGAATGTTCGCGAATAGTTATCGAACACGAGCACAAATAAACGAAGCGAATTCGAAGTCTAAATAGTATTCGTGTCGAATTCGAACACGAACACGAATAGTCCTAATTGAGCCGAATTCGAATTCGAATAAGACAGTATTCGTTCAAATTCGCTTCGTTTCCACCCCTACTCGCATAGTCTCATCGTTCTCGACTTTTTTTTACGGACGACCGTTTCCGTTTTTTCCTTGTTTGGTACTCGTCACGTGATTCGCCAGCACGCGGCCGCAACCCGAAAACAAAATACGAACATGAGAGGGTAGGAGCGTCCGCAACGCAACAAGACCAAGGGCAATTGAGTCGTTTACGCCTTAATTCCATCAGAGGCTGAGGGTAGTTTCGTCTATTTTAGAAAATATCGTACACACCCAAGATTCGTGGGCGGAGATCGACCTCGGGTTGATGTGAGAGAAAGAACCGACAACGTCGTACGGCCAATCAAAGGAGCCGCGGATGATGGAGGTAATTACAATAATGCCCTCATGTCGGGGACTGGGTTTGTCCCAGAAATGACGAAAATGCGCCTGGTTACAGATGGGACTTTTGGAATGTGAGTGGGGGACGAGGAATCTTATGACAGGTGTTGATACATGGCATGTGCTCAGAGTGGTGGTTAGGAGAGAAAATTGGAAGAAAAAGCCTATAGTTTCTCCAAAACTAGTGAAGTTGTACATTTTACTTAATAATATGAGTTATCTCCTATAATCGAGGGTGGTTATAAGAATTTTTTTTTCCTAATTTTTATATTAAAAATACAGGTAGGGTAACCTAACCAGCCAAGTCCTCAACAACACCCTGTCTCAAAAACAAAGGGACAGAAACATACCAAAAATAAGAGGACAAACAGTTAACCGACTTGCTAAGGAATGAGCAACACCATTACCAGTGCGCCTTACATAAGAAACTTTAGAGCAACCGGTAATAATCAGACCAGCGCGAACTTCATATGCAATAGGAGCCAAGAAAGCAAAAGGAGAAGGAGAGTCCACCAATGAGACAATCTTTAGAGAGTCAATTTCCACCACTGAAGTCCTCCAGTTCATACACCGAACAAAGCGAATGCCTTCCAGGACAGCCAATAGCTCCGCATGATCCACAAACATAGGACCCCTAATCCCCAAAGAGTAGCAACCAATCACATGCCCATGGTGATCCCGAATAACACCTCTCAAACCAATAATATCTCCTTCCAGAGAAACAACAACATCTATATTGAGCTTCAGCAAACCAGGAGCAGGGGGATACCAAGCAGAAGGCCATTTGGAAGGGGTGACAATGTTACGAGAGACCTCTAACTCTATCCCCTTCCTCCACAAAACAGAGAATCCGAGTCACCAAGACCGATGCTTCTCTAACACCACCACTATGAGAGCGCATATTCATTTCCCCCATATAAACCACATGGTTGTGAAAGCCAAAGCCAGAGAGCCCCCATGGAAAACTGAGGTGAGATGGAAAAGGAAATCACCATAAAACGTGCCTCGAAAACCATCAATCACTTCCCAAAGATCTAAGGACTCCCAAAATATCTGTTCCAGTTACTAGCAACTATCTGACATATTTTCCTAATTTAATTACTAGCAACTATCTGACATATTTTCAAATGAAACTTCGACTGAAATTCCCAAAATATTCTAGAAAAATATACGAGTCAGACACTAAGTTTGATTAAGAAGTCATGTCACGTTCTTGACAAAATGTTTGTTAAGAATATTAGAGAGAAATATAAAGATTATATTTTTATAATTCTCTTTTTCAAGAAGAGATTGTCTTGGGAATGAATCACATCCATTCACAAATTATTAGACTGTATAATAGAGTTTTCATAGCAAAAAGCATCGGAAAGAGGATTCAATAATGCCCACAAAACTCAGTTGAGATCCATACAATATATACTAATCATGTCATTGTCTTATCCTAGCTCAATCTAAAATTGTTAAAAGGCATCTAATTAGTTCTCGATAGATTTAGAACAAGCGCCACTAAAGAAAGAGCTCTTGATTGGCTCCCTAAGGTGCTAAAAGGCAAGCATTTATCTAAATTGTTTAGGTCTTTCCTTCACTATTTAATCCCATGCTTCTTGCTTCATAGATTTTTTTTTTTTAAATAAATTTTTTGGATGCTTTTACTCCTTCCTGCTTTGCTTTTTAAACTTTACGACAACATGTAGTGCTCTGATATAAGATATAGTTTGAACTTTGAACTCCCCTCTGTACGTAGTGTTGTCAGAAATAGCAGTGTGGGGAGTCTTGTGCTAAAATTAGGTTGCTTTTAGATGAAGAGTACTCCGAGTTCAGCCTCATAATCTATTAGAGTCTGAGGTACTATAAGATATCATAAAGAAAACTTTGGAGGGGGACCATATGCTTTCAATAGATTGGGGATTCCTTTGTTATGACCAACATACACAAACTTCCCATTTTGGCCTTGAGCTCATCCTCACCGAAAACAGGGTTTTTAAGATTCTAACTCCTTACATCTGTCATATTCTTAAATTAGCCCTTCAAATTATATATTGACATTGTTAAACTTAATTCATATAAATTTTCTAGAAATCAGTCACTCTGGTAGTTTTTTTCGTCTGGTTCACTTGCCTTGATTGAGTTAATGGTTAGCCCAACATGGTAGCTTATCGTTTTTACCCTCACTTCATTTCTTTCCCCTAAAACCACAAATTAAACAACAACCCCGCCCCCCGCCGGGTTGTGTGTGAGAGGGAGCCCCTTTGAAAAATGAGTTTAGGGGGTAGAAGATGGCAACTGGAGCACAAGAAGAAAAGAAAATGGGTCAGTATATTTAACATGTTTGAGTTCAGGATCCAGTTTTGAGTTTGGATGTATACTTAAATAAAAGAATATAATTTTAAATCTAGTTAAAAAGTTTAAGTTATGATGTAGCAGAAGTGTAATAAAAAGAGATAACTACTCATTCTCGTACGAGCAAAACAACGCAAACTCTAGAAATCCTATGAATGGATAACTTCTGAACTTAATAATAATCAATCTAAAGAGTTCACAAATTCTTTCCCCTTATATAGGGTGTAAATCACAGCAAAAGTACTAAAATAGCCTTTCCTAAAACAATTAGACTTTCTAAAAAAAAATTCTATAAAAACTAGAAAACGAAAAGTAACCCAGAATTTCATGCACAATCTCAACAGTTGAGCCTGAAGATGAATACCATTGCACACGAATATTATCTAGAACTACGAATTAGTTTTATGTAGAGCACTTCATGTGCTTTCCAAAAATATATAATAATAAAGATTCTACGGAGCGAGTCAAAAGATATGTTCCTCTAAAATTGCATCTTAGAATCTGTCTGAAAGTACTCTTTTGCTTCAATCGTCCCGCTTTTGCATGATCAGATTTCTTTCAGAAAATATCAATTATTGCCTCCACATCATTCTCCCCTCCCTAAACAAAACTTGTCCTCGAGTGTGGCTAAAGCTAAAGCGACTTAATCTATTGAAACTCAGTCAAATCAGCAACCTTCTTCATCTTAAACTTATAGCAAGTTTTCTTAGGCAATGTTTTCTTGCGCAGATGATCCATTATCAGATCTCCCTCATCAAACAATTTGAAATGATGATACGTATCATCGTCCAAACCCTACACAAAAAGAAAAGAACCAACCTTCGGCTTCACAATTTCTACACTTGGTT